ACTAGAAATAAATAACTTATTTAATTATTCAATAAAATAAAATAATTTAAATAATTTTGGCAAAAAATGTAAATGTAAAGAGAAGTCATGTGACCATGGGATGCTGCAAACAGCTGTAAATGTGGGCCCAAAATATGTCATATAACCATGGGGGGGCAGCTGTTGGAAATTCAAAACCAGAATATAAGTACCTTTTAGGGAGGTCCCTTGTAACTTTGAATGATCACAAGTGGAAAACTACATATATTTCCCCAGGAATTGGTAAAACCTTCATAGAAGTGTGATTCTAACCGAAATAAGATATCAATCTATCCCGGATTTATCAATGGTTAATTGTTTACAAAGTCTCGAAGTGTTCTTAGATTAGCACAATTACAGCATTTCATGCGCTTTCCAGTTGAATTCTGCATTAATCATTAAGATCAGATCTACAAATTTTGTAACTCTGTATTTGTTTCAAAATATATTTTGTTTCTAATTTTGCAGGTTTGTACAAGCTGTGAAGACAATGCAGAAGCCAATGGCTTTTGTGTGGAGTGTGTAGAGTGGTTATGCAAGACATGTATACGGGCTCATCAAAGAGTGAAATTCACAAAAGACCATACAGTTAGACAGAAAGAAGAGGTTTCTCCAGGTAAAGATCCATTTATATGTTCAGTCCTATACAGTTAATCCCTGAGTTACAAACGTTTCCTAACTGAACATTCGAAGTTACACAATAAGTGCCCTCTAGTGTTTATGAACAAGTCCCGAAATTACGAATATTGCAGCACCATGGCAATTGTTCACCCTTACGAACAACCGCAGAGGCAATGCAACATTTACCCTGGCTATTCCCTCCCCCCCTTGCCGCCAGGTCTCCATAAGCACTAGGCCTGTGGATATTCACCTTGCAAAAATCTAGAGAGCCTTTGTTCTTGGCCTGTTTCATTGCTTCAGGCCTTCGGTTCATTCAGAGAATGGAGGCCTAAAGTACTACAAGATCATGTGAGATTAGTAGTGTGAAATCTCACACTACTGATCTGGTGTGATCTCATGGTACTTTAGGCCTCTGTTCTCTGCAAACGGAGGCCTGGACGAGATCTGCGGTAAAAGACTTTGCAAGTGGAGAGAAGGCCTGAAACATTAGTTCCCTCCACTTGCAAAGCCTTTTGCCATATTTGAACAGAGCTTCAGATTGACGCGCATGTTGCTTCCAGCCTCCGTTTTCGTCAGCAGAGGTCTTCAGGAAAAGCCTTTGCCGATGAAAACGGAAGCCTGGAGTGATGCGTGCATCAATCCAGAGCACTTTTCTTGGCAGCAAAGGCTTTTCCTGAAGGCCTCTGCTGACAAAAACAGAGGCCAGGAGCGATGCATGGAGACTGGAAGCTTCTCAGTGCTGTAATCTCACGGCTGAAGTCATGCGAGATTACAGCACTGAGAAGCTTCTAGTTTTGGCGCCCAAAGTGTTTGCAAGCTCAGCAGACGCTTTGTGGCACTGATTTCGCTGCCTCAAGTGTCCCCTTAGCTTGTAAACTTAGAGAGAGCTTCCGAAGCTCTCTCTAAGTTTGTTGAAATTAGCTCTCTTAAAATCCAAGACTCTAGTTTGGATGTGTTCTATTGCTTGTGCTTGCATAATGTTGAATTCCAATATTGCATGGTCACTCCCCCCAATAGGTTCCTATGGTTTCAACATCTTTAAAAGGGGCAAAATTGTATTAGTTGAGTTAACTTTCAGTTTTACTCTAGGTCTATAACAGTTAATTCCTATTCATCAGATTATTTCCTCTTTTTCTTTTTTAACAGAAGCTGTTGGTGTAACTAGTCAAAGACCTGTGTTCTGCCCTTACCACAAAAAGGAGCAATTGAAACTCTATTGCGAAACTTGTGACAAATTGACATGTCGGGATTGTCAGTTGCTAGAGCACAAAGAACACAGGTATTAAAATTAATATATCTGAAAAGAAAAGAAAAAAGGCAAAGTTGGATAAAGAGTTAATAAGAGTCTGTTAGAGAAGTATGAGTTGCAAGAGATAGGCTAGCCTGATTTTTTTTAAATCTGGTTTGCTTTAGAATTAATGTATAATTTGATATGATTTATAGATCTCATCGGGTTATATTTATATCTTTTGATTCTCTTTTCCCCCCTCTCTATTCAGTTTTAGTCTATGTGTTTTTAAAAGATTATATATAAAATACACCTAATGTAAACATGCTGCATATTTCTTTTTCCTTTCTTTTTCTTTTTCTGCAGATACCAATTCATAGAAGAAGCCTTTCAGAATCAAAAAGTAATAATTG